CTTCTTGAACAGAGACCCAGATAGATCTACGAACCAGACATCTACACCGGAAACGCTCGACTTGGCATGTAATGTTGTGACTCTTGTTCGGGAAATAGAACCGTTGCCCTGGCGACCCTGACAGATATGCTACCTATCGCAGTTCGCTATCATGAGCTCTTACTGCTTATCATGTCGCCCACCTTCCGTCTTTCAGAAGTTGCTCCATACAAAACCACCCCTGAGGGAAGATAGATGTATGGGAAAGGTGAGAAGGAGCTACCATATATCGACCACCACGGTCTTGACTTAGCACGAAGCTCAAACTCAAGTCCATCAGATCTCGGTTTTGCATAGCATAGAGCACTCGTTTTGAGCTCCTGAATCTTTCTCGGATCCTGTAATGCCCTACTGTGATGTCTGGTCTCGGGGGAGCACTTAGTATTGGTGGCTACTGTAGCAAAACAAGCATGGACCAATGATAGGTCATCAACGTGGAGCTGATCCGTCAGTAGTCACTCCATTCAATCATACGACGTGGTTGGCATGGATTGTAGCATGTTTGGAGCTAAACGTAGATTGGTATGTATGCATGGCGGCGAGATAACATAGTCTGGACAACATCTGTAGGAACATGCGACCGCAGGTTATCGCACAAGGCGGGTAAAGTCTGGCTGAAGTATTCGCACCGTATTCGAAACACTGGCTTGGCTTGTCTTGGACTATTCTTAGAAACAATACCATCAGCAGGCGTAAGGGAAAAAAATCTGTCGCCAGGACACTCTCTATGAATCGAAACAACGACCATGTATCGAGAGACTCTTGCGCAAGCGCCTTGAAAGCGACAAGGGATACCAGAATTCTCAGTCATCAAGTCCACGTAAGATCGAAAACGTGGGATACCACTGTATCAAGGTCCAAGCCGAAGCCGGATTGTATAGCACAGCAAAAACTTAGTGTTACGAACCACCGGGGATGGAGAACTTCGCGACCGACGGATCATCAGCGGACCATCAATCGCTGGGAATCGAGCTAGGAATGACTACTGAAGATCTTTCACAGCATGGAAGATCCTTGTACAATTCTCAATTCGGGCATCCAGGCACTGAGATTGCATACAACCAAGAGTCTTTACACCACAACAGCGTACAGATCAACCGACTTTACCTCCCTTGGGCGGCGCAAGAGCCGCCGAGCGCTTTTATACCGCATCTCTCTTGGATTGCCAACTATGGCGCGAATATTTGGGACTACAATCAGGTTTCGCCATGTGATGGGACTAGCAACACGTGTGGATATCTGCCATACCAGGGTATTGCTTACCAACCTACCGTCGTGGTCTCACTCCTTGAACAGATACCGTGGAAGGGTACCAACACACAGCAGCTGAAGGCTGGACCAAACTCATGCCTCCGTACAGTATCGCTGCCTGACGTCAACAACGAGGATTGGATATCGGGCTGGTCCATGGATGAGAGGCCATATGTCTATCCACTTGCCGTCGGACAATCCCCAACAGGATGTTGACCGTACTGTGTAACTCCAACCATATGTTTTCATTTGGAGAGCAGACTTAGATGACCTAGATAGTTTTGTGGCCATACAAATACAGACGTTGATCATCTTGCTCCTCTAGAATGCTACAAATTATTATCGCACGAATCCTCAGTGAGCTCCGCGAAGTATCATGGTGATGAGTGGCTGTTCATGTTGTGAATCAAAGTTCGACTTAGGTCTTTGTACTACAAAGTTATTGGTGAATTTGACGTACAATTTGCATCTATGATGGCTGTTGATCAAAGATGTGATTTGACTCTACGACCGTGTTTCGGAAGATAGCTGTTGTGTCGAGTACCACATAACCATAATCCTACTAGCAACTTCGACTTACTATCAACTTGGCAATAAACTAGACAGGTACTGGACATTTCCACCGACGAACCGTGCCAAGGATTTGATGCTAGATGTTGAAGACATGCTACATAGTAGCTCTGCATAACATCATTGCTGTCGATAACCGGACGTCTATGGTGTTTTTCTCCAAGTTCAGAAACAGTGCTTGCATATCGAGAGGAGTGGTGAAAGTCGCTACCTGATCAATCCCCTGCACATTGAGTTATGCGAATCAGGACTCGCAGCCACCCCTCCTCACTCGTGGCCGAACTCTT